TAGAAAACTGCCTCGTCAATTTCATGAAATCATCTCTTCTTTGGCCCGGTAAATTTTTTGCACGATGCCTCACAGTCTACAATAGCTACCTTGTCTTTCCGCAACAGCCGCAACGTTTAACTAACGGCAAAAATTGTACCAGCTTTTCGATTTCTTTCTTTTAACGCTAACTTAATAACATCTCTTTAAACTTCGCTGTATAGAAGAACCTCTTCGATTTTTGCTACTTTTTTTCCATAATTACGCTGTTATATGTATAATTAAACACACACCACGTTGGAGCTACTACGAGGGCGGTATATGAACTGAATTCGTGCTAGGCATTACTATTTATTTTTAAAATTATATTTATTTTCCAATTTTTTCTGGCTTGGTAAATTTAAAGTTTAGTCCAATAAAAACTCGTCGTAAACAAGGTATCTTTAGGTGCATCAGCGTCAGTCAACGGAAAAAATATATATTTATGGTTAACAACAAACATCGCATCGTCTTGGTGTTGTCGAATTGCTCAAAGAAAGATGCGGATTACATTCGCAAACTAAATTTTTTTACCACTATGCATTTTTAAAATTGGGGTGCGGATTAGATTCGAGTGCGGATAAGATTCGAGAAAATACGGTATTCGAAAATGCCAACGAAAGATTATATTTAGAAAAAATGTGTTTTGCAAGTGACATTATTGTAAGGAATAGGTTTATATTTGAAGTTTTAACATAAAGAGGGTCTCTTTGTTGCTGTATTTTGTGAAATAATCTATTAATGATGTGTTTTTGGGAATTTATTATTATATCCAAGCTCAAACACATTTCTTTTATCCTATTCTGTTCGGAGAGGGGATAGTTAAATATTCTATTTATTAAAAGTCTAAAATTGGCAAGTTTTTGTGACATGGGATGTTCTGAATCATAAGGAATAGTTGTTAAGATGGTCGATGGTTTCCTATGAATATTGTATTCGATTTTATCTTTGTCTGTTTTTGTTAAATTTGAGTCTAGAAAATTAAGTTGATTATTTTCTTCAATTTCTATGGTAAATTAATGCTATTCAAATAATTCTAAAAGCCCATTACATTTTCTCTGTTCCCTTCCCAGATACAAAAAACGTCGTCGACATATTTTTTCTAGTATTTTTTAATATATTTACAACTTGCAACATGGATAAAATTCTTAATTCATAACTACAAGTACACTTCAAAACCTGCACCTCTATTTCTAACACATGCACGAGCTCTTTTCCTGTTATCTTACTTGCAATTAACGTTATTAAAACATATGCTTCGTTTTGGATTTTTTCTATTAATTTTATTCATCTTTAGAGTTGACACATAAAAATCAAGGGGCCTCAAATCAGGACTCCAACGATTTCATTTAATGAATTTCGAACATTTTCAATAGTGTGTAGGGCATCTATCATGCTGGAAAACATGATGTTCATTTCCCTTGTTAGATACGAATTTTCGTCAAATCAAGAATGTAAATTATGAAGATTTGTTATACCTTTTCTATTAACCATGGATTTATCTGTCCACAAAATTCTTTTCAAGAAATATCCATCTTCAATGTCAGCATTTAAAAGGAAACGGCAAAATTGTATCCTTCGCTATAGGTTGCCTTCTTCAAGCGCTTGGACAGGAGTATAGTGGTATGGATGGTTGCCCATTTGTCGAAGAGTTGACCATACCTTCCATTGTGATATCCCTAAATTAGTGACTACGTTTCTTGTACTGGATGTCGCAGCTTCTTCGAATGCATCCAAAACTATAAGTTCGGCTTTTTTTAAATTACCAGTCTCAGCTAAACGCCGATAAGTAGCCCCAAATACGCTAACATGAAGGATCCTTCTATTTGCATACCGTGCCTGGTACTTCCGACGAGGTTTCCATGACAGAAACCATAAATGTATAATATTGTAGCATACAAAATTAAATTCAAATAAAAACAAACAATATTAACTAAAACACTGTCAAAAGCTTACTAATAAAAAAGGAAATGTGTTGCTACCACTGGCTAAATATAAAACATTTGTATAATTGATGGTTTATAATTATTAATGAATTGAATTTCATTTATTGTATTTATGAATTAACATTTTTTAGTAACTATAAGTTAAAATAAATACTAGGCGTAATCGATTTTAAACTTTTTTAACTTTGGATAAGTTGTCAATATTATACACATGCCTATCCTTACCTTATATGTAGTTTCACGTGGGGGTGAGTTTCTTCACA